AAAAAAAAAAAAAACACATCGTAGTAAAACCAATACCTTCTCAGCTTCGCATCGAAGCTAAAAACACATAGTAAAATAATATTAACATGAATAAGAAATATCTTCTTACGAGGGGATACTACTATGAATTCTTGATATTTATTGAAGTTATTGAATCTAAATGAGATAAAAATCAAATAATTTGAAAATTGAAAAAAAAAAATACAAAATATTAATTGCCACAGGCAGTTACACCTTGTACCCTATGCGTGAAAGACATAAGTGTTACCGATTTGGCAACTATTTGTCGCTTTTGTCAGTTGATAAAATTAACAATTTAAGCTAATTCAAATTTCAAAGTTACTTTTTGAGTTAAATTTCTTGGTATTGTATTTTAATTTATTTTAAAGTTTAACTTCTTATGTCTTATGAACTTTATTCTATATCAATTAAATTATATAATATTCATGAGTCAGTGTATTCCCCTTGTAAGATATTTTAAAATAAAATAAAATACAAAACCCAGAATTTGAACACAAAAATAGCATATTTTTGAATACGATAGCTATTTACACCAAAAAGAAAATTTATATTTCGAATTTTTTTTTTCATAGTAAAGTATATAAGGTTTAATTTAAGATTAAATAAGTGTCAATATTTTCAGAATATTCTCAAAAAATAGGTCAAGTGAGGGTTGGGAAAATAATTCGCAGCCACAAAAAAAAACATAGGAAAGTAATATTAACATTAATATTATTATTAATTATAAATTAATATTAATATGAACTACTAAAAATATTTTTCATCTTTTTTAAAGTGAAACTAAAAATGAATTACTCAATTACATAATACCTAAATTATTTGTGTACTTTAATCTAAATAATTGAATTAAAATTAAAATTATACCTTCTAAAATAATTAGCTATATAATAGTAATAGATATAATAAATTTTATTAGCGGTGCTATATTAACTATCACCTAATACCCATTTATAAATATTTATAATAAATTTCATTTTTAACGATAATAGAATTCTTGACTTTTGACCAACTAGAACTTGTATGTTATAAAACTTTATAATAGATATGTTAAGTAGTAATGTAATAATAATTATAAGTTACCTAAAGATTCATCCAATACATTTTTCGTTTTAATATTATGTTTAGCAGAATTTGGAATAATGTAACTTTTTTTATCTTTGTCATTCATATATGGTGTTATTAAATCTATTTCAGGTATAATAGTTTTACAAGGTTGTCTCTCTCCTTTTCCGGACAAATCATCATTATCAATTTGTATTTCATTATTTAAATCTTCTCTTTGTTCTCTTTCCAACATACATGGAATTACTTCAATAGATGTTGCTTCAGGTAATAATGTTTCTGGTTTTTTACTAAAAGAAAAAATGTGGATATAATTATTTATACAGGTTGATTTTTTAAACAAACCTCATTTTATATATTCAAAATTGTAAAATAAAACACAAACTTTTTTATTTTTTTTTTTTAGTTATAACCTCCCTTGACTCTTTAAATTGTACAAACTTAAGTTTTAATAAAGTTAAATAATTCTATCATGATTTTGTTACAATAAAAGATTCAATGAATATCTTACACAGATAATTGGTTTGCAATGTTTAAATTTTTTGGTGATGTATAGTAAATTTTTGTTTCTTCTGCTGGTTTTGATATTGGACTAACTTGTTGGCCCATTGTAATGTTATTACTGTTATGTATTTCTGGTGAAACATTTGTTACGATATTAGTTATATCATTTAGTTTTGACTTGAAATTTGAACAGGGTGTGGAATGAGAAATTGAACATTTTTCATTTTTGTTATTTTCAAAAGAAATAGTTAGACTTGGTTCAGTAGAAGAAATATCTACTACATTTAAAAATGTATTAGATTCTGAGATAAATTGATTGCATTTAAGGATTGACTTTTCTTTTATACACTCTAAATTTTCAGTGTCATCAGTTTCAATACATTTGTCCACTTTCATAGATAATTTGACAAAACTCAAGTCCAGAATATATTGCAATTTTTCTACAATTGTCTTTGATTCATACTCATCAGGAGTTGCACGATTTACTGAAATAAAAATAAAATTTTAATTAATAAATCATTTAAAACTAATTTTAGAAGTTTTTAGATTTACTTACTTAAACTACACATGGTCCCAAAACTATCAAAAACATCATTTAGACTCAATCCATTAACTTTATTATTAAAATTTCGTTTGGTTAGAAACATTTGATAACATTCTTTTAAATGAGGAGAAGTTTTCAAAAAACATTCAGCTGTAGCGACATTGTTTTCTTTTTTCAAATAACCTAAACACATTAATAACATTTATATTAAAAATATGGCACAATTGATGCCCAAACAGTTAACTTATGATATACGCTCAAAATTTGATTGAGAAAATATCTATGTAATATACATACATACTGCCTAGTATATTTTAACATTAAACAATAGTTCACAACAATTAAATGAAATATCAATAACATGAAAAAATAAATATAAATATATTAAATTATTAAAACAACTGGATGGTTTTAAAGTTACAAGGATAGTTATTTTAGAAAACTCCTGAATTTAAGTAAAAATAAATGATAATTTTATGGGTACAATATTGGTATTACCATAAATAAGTCGTGCAATTTCTGAAGGTAACAAAGGTTCCATTTTATATAATTCTGAGAATTAAAAATAAATATACAATAATAGTTCATGTCACATTGATAGAATAATGTAACGTTTTAATAATTTGAGAAAATTAACGGTTAACAGGAAAACATAAACACATGCATGTTAGTTTTGATAAAAAAGGCGATATTTGTATTATATATATTTATATATATATATATATATATATAAGTATATATAAATATCACAGAAGAGATAAGATCTGAGGAATTTTTTGTTTTGTATATATTACCATTGATTAAATAAGGGTTATGGAGATTATCACGAACTGATAATTCTCCGACATTCATATACTCCGACACTGTAAAAAAATCCTCCAAATACATTTACTCCGACAACAATTACTACGAATACCTGGTTACAAAAATTTGGATTTTACTACGACGATGAATACTCCGAATAGGACTATTAATTGATTGCTCCGAATGAAATTTGTTCCGAATATTATTTGCGAAATCGATTAAAAAATTATGAAATTTCGGATTAGATGAATATCGAGCAATATATTATCTGATGGAAAAATATAACCCTTATCGCTAATTAAGAAATATTAATTAATATAATAAAATAGCGTTATAATTGATTACTGTCTATTTACGAATAATTATTACAATAAAATGTATCCGACTTATGATAAAATAGGTACATAAAGGTAAGGAAGGGGGCTTTGAACTAGAACAACCCCAGTTATAAAACTGGTGTGAGCCCTTAATTTTTTTTTTTTGGAGGGGAAAGAAGAGCGATTTCAATTTTTGGACGTAAAATCTTTTTTGCCTCTCCTTATTAGTGCCTATTTTATTATAATATTTAATTAGTTTAGTTAAAAAATATAGAGGTATGTGTCACTGATGATAGGATTCGTCATTAAACTAGCTATTATTATTATTATTATTAACACTACACTATTATTATTCGTCTATACTTAAGGGAATAATTTTTCACTTCTATTTTAAATATTAGAAAAAACCTTTGTACACGATAAAAGACAATTTATTTTGTGCGTTTGAGAAGCGATAAAGATTTCTACATTAAAATCTAGACTAGATATAATTTTAAAATAAATTAATAAAATATTTTTACTAACTAATAGTAGTGATGATACACAAGTTACAACATAAAATAAATTAAATGCACTAGACATCTTTGTTACTTTATTAATAACAAAGAAAAATTTATTAAATGTTAGTTTACAAGTGATAAGTACATATTTTTAGGGGGAATAACAATTATTTAATATTATATAATGTTTAACTACTGATAAATAAAATATCAAAGAATAACACTTATCAAAAATAATGGAGTGCAATGTTAAAAATATAGTTTAAAAAAACTAAAAAAACACGCTTTTAAAGCACATCGAACTAAAAAGTTAAAAATAATTTTTAAAATAAGTTTAAAATAATTATGAATAAAAAATACTAGTATTATTGTGATAAAAGCGTGGGTGCTTTATGCCATATTTTTCGTATATTGAGCGCCCGACGCTTTTATCACAATAATACTAGTACTTTTCGTACATTATTGTTTTAAGCTTATTATAAAAATTATTTTTAACTTTTTAGTTCGATGTGCTTTAAAAGCGTGTTTTTTAGTTTTTTTATATTATATTTTTACTTTTAGACGACACACAGAATTTTTAAATATGAAAAAATTAATTCTACTTATATATAACCAAAACTTACTCATTCTTAGCATAACTTATATTAGAACTTGTAGCAAAACTTACACAGTTTAATATTATTTTTATTTTTTTATATAAAAGTTAAACATTATTTTAGTAATTAATTTTAATTAAAATTACTGAAAGAAAAATTAATCATAATCCACTGAGTTAACACAAACCTATTGAAAAAAACTTCCAGAAAGTAATAAGACTAAAATAAGTGTATTCAACAATTACTGCATTGAAGTTAGATATACTGTTTTTTTATACTTAGATATCATAATGTAGCACAGGAAAAAATCCTGTCATCCCCAAGAATGATGAGGCACACGTGGAAGAAATTTCTTTTTTAACCTTGAGGTCCTATTGCACTACATCCAAAATTATTGGATGGACCTCAAGGGTTCTCAGTTTATGGGTTCAGCATCCGAACAAATTATAAGATATTATTTTAACTCTTCCCGAAGACACTTATCCATATTATCAAATTAGACATAGAACACCCAATTTTATATTGTACAAATATTAATAATTTTATGTTTATATTAGTCATTATTTTTTAATAATATACACTTAAGATTAATCACTAATAAAATTGCACATAACAATTTTTACAGCACATATTTGCTTTAGAAAAATTAGTTTTCAAATGGATCTCTTAGATGTTAAACAATAAGTTACGGTTAGATAAAATTTTGTGGATCAACTGAAAAAATAGTTAACTAACAGTTTTTTGATTTAATGAAAATATTTTGTAATTATTGGATAATTAAAAAATAAATTCTCAAAGATAAATATATATTCTAACAATAGAGAAAACTTTTTCAAAAATGTACATTTATATTAAAAACTATTAATTTTATGTTACTTAATGAATGACTATTATCATTCGAGTATTAATAACATTTGTCAAATGTGAGAAATTGTATCAGAAAATAATAAGCAATATCTATATTATTGTATAATAACTAACTATAGTAGCAATTAAAGCTAATTTAATAGAACATTTTAATTTAAATTTTACAATATTATTAATAATAATATAATTCATTTAATAATGTAGTGTTTCTGTAGCCACGTGATCCTGACGTTGCAACATATACGATCGATGTGACCTATTACTAAGAATACAATCAAAATATAATATAACTTTCGATGCATAATCAAACTATCGATAATGTCGGAGTTTTTACCGTCTCATTTTTTTAATTTAATGTCGGAGTAAAATCCGTCGTAATTTTGGTAACCTATGGTACAGATGGTCGGAGTACCAGATGTTCGTAACAATTACTACTTAGTCAAATGTCGAAGTATGTAAATGTCGGAGCATTATCAGTTCGTAGCAAAGGTGTTTTCCCAATTAAATACACTTATGTATTTAATCTATGTTATAGTGAATTGTTAATACAACCATAGTAAAATGAATAATTTATAGTACCTTTTCATTGTACATTTTTTTAGTGTGCTGCTAATAATGAATATAATCCATCAGATTTATTTGAGGAGGACAGTCTAACATATTTAATGGGGATATGTAGCTTTTAAATTTGAATACAAATATCCGAATCTTGTAGATAATTTCAATGAACCTAATGATTGGATAGAAGTTAAATAATTTGGAACATTACGACAACTATCACCTACATTTTATACATACCTATGTATAATATATAAATATAATATTTAATATAATAAAAGCTATGAAAAAAACTGTTTATTTCATTGCATTGAACAATTCCAATAGTTTAATTATAACTACATTATTTGCAAAGGCGTAAAGCATTTGAGTAAATGTATTTGAATAAAAGTATTCAAATACTTTCATTGGTATTGAATAGTATTTTTAAATACATTTAATAAAAAGTATCTGAGTAGTATTTTAAATACAATTATTTAGTATTTAATACTGTTTAATATTCAGTACTATTAATATACTTTTTTTTTCTAATTTGCTAACCGTAACACAGCAAGCAAATTAAACTCAGTCAAAATGAAAATTGAGAATAATTCTCTGTTATTTTATATGTTACATTATAGTATAACATAATTATTGTGCTTATCTAAATGCTATTATGTATACATCTATTTTTAATACATCAGTTGAACCTACAATAGCCTATTGCAGGTTCAAATGATTTACTCTATTGTCAATAAGACATACTTTACAGGTTTTTACACGTGTACTAATATTTATTTTTTTCACTGATTAGTCTCCAATAATTAATTTTATTTACCTCTAACAAAAAATATCGAAAATAATAAATGAGTTCTCTTAATTTAAGAGTACTCAATATTTGACTCAAATTACCCTCTTGGTAATTATTTAGGTGGAACCTTTTGCTCTTAGTTAAAATAAAAACATTATTATTATTTTTTAATTGTATTCTTAGTATTTGAAATACTTTTGTAAAGTAATTGAGTATTACTCAAATACTTTTGTATGAAAAGTATTCAAATAGTATTTTAAATACATTTTTTTTTAAATATTTGAGTATTATTTAAAATACTTTTTAAAAGTATTTCTTACAACTATGCTTATGATTAAATTTTTAATAGATGATATTAGAAAAACTCCAGGCTTAATAAAGGAGGTACTGGAATTAATTAAAAAAGCATGTAATTCAGATAATCTTTTGGTGGATGATGAAGTCAAAAACTTCATTATTAGAACAAGAATATATTTTAGAATATGGAATATAAATAAAAAACTTGCATCACAAGAAATGAGCAATAAAAAAAAAATTCAAAAATTTATTAAATAATCATTAAAACTACACTTTTTATAAATAATGTAACAATTTATACTTACTGTAAGTAATTACACAATAAATTGATATTTAACTATTTATATGCAGTTAAACTAGTAAAATTTTACTATGCAGTCAAAGTTTTTCTCAGGTTAGATTTATCAACGAGTTAAATCTTGGTTTATAAACTACTACAGTGTAGCAGATAATACAATAAAGATGTATTACAACACAGTTGAAGTTAATAATAATAATAAAAAAATTATAAATGAAATTGAAAACCGAAATTAACTAAAAAAAGTTCATTAAAATACTTGGCTAAAATGGGACAGTGCCCCTTACTATAGAATATATACAACGCAATGTATTTACATGTGACGTCACGTTGAGTTTTTTATTGGTTGCATATTTTACTCCTAGGCATATCATGCGCACTAATTTGATCGAGCATACTTCTTATTAATTTTACTATGAATACAACCATATTTGTTGTGATAAAACCGTGGAGATTATAAAGAGAAAAAGCCGACAATTGATTATTGTTATCATAAATTTGATGATACTAACAATATATAAAATAACTGTACGTGTTGGCTAAAAATTTTTTTTGAATGGCCCATAATGTTACATTATTATTATATTGTGGATTATTCATATTCTGTAATGTTGGTCTTATTTTAGATTTACTATTTTCGTTTATGTAAATTGTGATACAACACTTATTTTTATTTAGAACATTTAATTATTTTTAATGTTTTTGTTTATTAAATATTTAAATTCTATGATAATATGAGTTTAAAAAAATCTTTTATTAGTATAAATACTCTTAAAAAATTTGATGCTTTTGCCAAACCACTTGAAGAAGTTCAAATTAAAACAGTAGGGGGAGGAATTGGTATATAATTTTTAAATAAACATTATTTAAAAATCATTCTGTAATTTATTTTATTTTTTATTGTATGATATTCTCAATTAGTTATTTCTCCACCATCTCATTGTTAATAAAAATCTAAAAGCAACATTGTAAAGTTTACAAAAGCATTTTTATATTTTAAATTGATGGTAGTTATGAAAATAATAAAATTTTTGAAAATTTAATAGTAATAGAAAATTACAGATTAAAATTACAAATTAGAGGTTGTTTTTTATTTAAGTAAAGCTGAGCAGGTATTAATTTTACCTTAAAGTGATTTTTTAATTTTAATTTCAGTAAACAATTGCATATATGTAAATTAAAAAGTTCTTTTTTAGGGAAAATTATCTCCTCTGAATTCACTCCTTTTAAATTATATTTACAAAGTTCCTCTATTTTAGTTATAGTATTGACATAATGAAGTTATCAGTAAATTAATTACAATATTTTTGTAAATTATATATTTAAAATAATTTTATATTTTGGAAATAAATAAGTTTTATTTAAAAGTAATAACTTTTACACAATTGATTGATGGATGTAGGAATGTATTAAACTTTTTATACATTTATTCAATATTCAGAACATTTTCAGGTACTTTCATATCTTTATTTTTGTGGTGATGTTATAATCAAAGGGAATTCTACAATACATTCAGTTAGCAAAAACTGAACATATGAAAATATCTGAAACTATTTTGAATAAGGCCATATTTTGTTTTTAAATATATATATATATACTGAATTATGTTAACAAAATGAATTTAAAGTTTCTTTAGTATGTTTCTTGACAATCGGATATTTGATGATGATAAATTTATTTGAATATCTTGATAACACTCCAACTGAAGAACTTTTTGTTGATACTTCTCGAAATAAAAAACTGCAAATTAATTTAGATATTATAATACCAAGAATTTCATGTGATTGTAAGTTTATTAATGATGTACAAATAAATATCATGAAAATTAAAATTAAATATAAATTGTAGATTTAGCTTTGGATGCAGTTGATAGCTCAGGAGAACAACATTTACATGTCGATCATAATATATATAAAAGAAGACTAGATCTTAATGGTGTACCTTTAAGTGATCCAAAGAAAACTAATGGTAATTTTTAAAGTTTTGTTTTTTTAATAACTTAATATCAAAATTGTAATATTTTCATTTGTATTGTTATTTAAACATTTTTGGAAAAAAATATGCATCCTTGCCAATTATTCAATATTATATACTTTTATTATATTTATTTATTATTTATTATTCACTTAAACAATATATGTACTATTTTAATATTATAATATTGTTTGTAGTGAGTTATGTTGATAAAACCTTAAGTATTCTCTTTTTAATATTTATAAATATCAATTTTATTAAGTCCTAATGTTTTGAGTATATTCTAGATTAGTTTATTGTAATGAATTAATTTTAATTCATACAAATTTATCACTTAATGTTATATTGAAATCTGTAACCTAACACATTTTTTTTATTATTTGTTGTTATTTATATAGATTTTATTATTGCTAGATTTTAGCAAAAATTTATGTTATTTTAATATAAGTATTATATTAATTTATTTTTCAGATGTTGGAAGTAAACCGGTTGATAAGGTAAAAAAAATTTTTTAATACTATTTTATAGATTAAAAGTTGTAATATTTTGGCTTTATTTTATTTTTAGTCATTTAATTCTCTGAAAGCAGCTGAAAATAGTAAAATAAACATTTCTACTAGTTGTGGTAGCTGTTATGGAGCAGAAACTTCTAATAAGCCGTATGATTATAAATAAAACCAGTAGATTATAAAAAGAATTGTTTATAACTTACCAGTAACATTTTTTTAGTTGTTGTAATACTTGTGAAGATGTTCAGAGAGCTTATGCTTTGAAAAGTTGGAATTTTAACCCTAGTGTAATAGAACAATGCAAAAATCAACCTTTAAATGGTAGCTCTGAAAATACATTTAAAGAAGGTTGTCAAATATTTGGTACACTTCAAGTAAATAGGGTTAGTAAAATACCTTTCATTCTTTATTTTTTTAGAAGAGTTTAGAGCTAAAATAGGTTAGAAAAGTTTACTTTGCAAGTACACTAATGTCCTGGTTTCTAACATATTTTAACAATAATTTGTAATTCTATATTAATAATCAAAAACAAATTTAGTTATTATTATATGCTTATACATAAAAACCTAAAATATATATCTTTGATAATTTAGTGAAAAAATAAAAAAAACCCAGCACAGTGTTTAAAGTTTGATGTATTTCCTGAACATTATCAAAAGTTCCACTTTTTACTCGTATCAAGTTTTAACTTTCACTCCATATAAAGAAAAATATTTTATTTGAAAATATAAGTTTGTTGGATAAATGAGGTATACATATCGTATTTAAAAAAAATTTTGTATTGAGCTATATAGACAAAGTAATTTTTTTTTTTAATTTTAAGTTCATGTCATAAGCTTTATTTTAATATATGTTTAAAGTTTAGAGTATTTCAAACACTTTCATAACTTATGCTAAAATTTTTTTATTTTTGTGCAAAACTTTCTTTTTTTATCTTCCCTATTTTTAGTTTTAGTTATTATCTAGTAATAATTCATTTATTATAAACTCGCAAAGAACATTTTTTAGATTTAAATAAAAAAATATATGAATATTTAATTTGTTTTAATATGTAATTAATTACATATTAATTTTTTAGAATTAATCATTTATAAGAAACGTTAGATGAAATGACTAAGCTCTGACATTTTAGTTAAAAAATGTTTAATTAATAGATACACTTCGATAATTATCAATGTATCAGTCTATTGATAGAAAGACGCATTAAGTTCTTTAAACAATATTGAATCGTCATTATTTTAAATAATATCAATATTCAAGTGACTAAAAAATATCTCCCTATAATTAATATGAAAATAAAAGAACTATATCTACTTATTTATTTGAATAAAATATAAATTGTATAAAATTTTTTGACTACAGTACTAAAAGAATACTAAATGATTCCTTCTATTAAATACCAATGTCATTGAAATTTCGTTATTTTAGAATAAAAAGAATGAAAAACAATTTTTTTTAGATCTTCTTTTTTCTTGTCTTTATCCCAATTACTTGGATTTGACCACCCTTATATTAAACTTCCACTTGATACGATCTCCCACATTATCTACGCTCACATCAGCCGTTTTCATATCACATTCAATAATATCCCTCCATTTCTTTTTTGGTCTTTCATTTTCATAACTGTTCTTACAGCTTCTGATTCCTCTTTCCTCATAACACGACCAAACCACATAAATCTATTTAAAATATTGTAAAATCCAGGATTCTTTCCCCATTCAAAATCATACTCATGTGTTCTTCAATATTCTCTCCCATTACCGACATTATCATTCATATCTCCACCTATTACCCCATCCTCATTACAATGTATTTCTTGCATCATCAAAACACTTTTTTGTCTATTACATCATATCTTGTGGTGCACAGGTACTTACTACATTCAACATTTTTTATTCAAATATTAATTTTATGACTATAATTCTGTCACTTTTCTTAACTACTTTACTTTACTTTACTTTTTATGAGGAGAGAACAATCCGAAGCTGTAAGAACAGTTATAGAAATGAATGTTGAAGAAAGAAGAGGTAATGGACGACCAAAAAAGAGATGAAGGAATGCTATTGAATGCAATTTTGAGGACAGCTGATGTGAGCATAGATGATGTGGGAGATCATGTCAAGTGGAAGTTTAGGATAAGTGTGGCCGACCCCCAGTAGTTGGGATTGAGGCGAGGAAGAAGAAAAAAAAGAAGAACTACTATACTTTTTATCTCCTCATCTATTATTATCCCTATACCATTCATTGTATTGGTTTAAACTGAGTATATTATTTTATAACCCTCACTTATTTATCTTGCTTTCTCTCCCTACCACTGCATAGAACAAATATTAACTTTTCTCCTCTTCAATACTTCACTAATTCTCTACTTCTACCAATTATTGTTCCAACATTCTATGTACTTATTCTTGCTTTGTATCTTCATTTTCCTCTTATACATGAGCCTAACCTAGAGTTGAGTGATTATATCCCTACGCTGTTGACACTACAGCATAGTCACTACAAACAGCTACCCTACAAGTTGTCCGTCTGGTATCAAATACTTTATTTTTTAGAATTTTTCTAACTACTTTATTTTTTTCTCAACTGTTGTTCCCACATTCCTGTGAGAGCAAAGAAAAAATGGTGACAGATTTAAAAAAAACCCAGCACAGGGGGGTCGCGGCACAGTGGTGACGTGGCATAGTTGGATCAAGTATAATGATATCTGACAGTGATTAAAATCACTATCAAAAAAAAACGCTTCGATGCAAATCTTTAGATAGTGTTTAATTTTAAAAAATTGGTGGATTATTCCAAAAGCTTCATAAACTGCTATAAAATATAACTGCTAAATTGAAAAAATTTCGAAAATTAGCGATTTTTAAATTCGTAATTTTTTTGGAGGTTGCCCCCATTTACGGGGAACGAGTGAATTTTTTTCAATTTTTGAGGGTAATGTCTTTGACTAGATATAATTTGTGATCTTTTGACGTATCATTGAAAGAAATCGGTTCGGTGAGAGCTGAAAAAAAGTGGTAACAGACACAAAAAAAAAAACACATCTTAGTAAAACCAAAACCTTCTCAGCTTCGCATCGAAGCTAAAAAGGACGATGGCCCGAGTACAACACAAACAGAAACCAACGTGATATATTTGGCGACAAATTAACACAAAACCCCACTGGATATTTGTCACCGAACGTAAACGAAAAGACCGTGCATATCACAACAACATCGTAGACTATACTATCAAGCAATATGAAAAAAAAAATTTCCCTCGTTCCCCGTAAATGGGGGAAACCTCAAAAAAAATTACAAATTTAAAAATCGCTAATTTTCGAAATTTTTTCAATTTTTTTTACTAAAAACTGCCGTAACTTTTTCAAAAATGAACATATCAATATAATTTTTTTTTTTTATAGATGCTTGATGTTTTTATCTATCATTTGGTATATATTTTTTGTAAATCTGACACTTAACCTGCCCACGGGAGGGGATTTAAAATGACAACTTTTTTACAAAAAATTAACTTTTTCAACTTAACTTTTGAAAATGTTCCGGAAGGTCTGACACTTTTATATATATCTTAAATTAAAGCAAATGTAATATACTTTAATTTGAAAAAAAAAAAATTTGACCTCTGGACTGGTCTTCATGGTGAAAACGGCTACCGAATGTTATTTTTGTGTGAAATTTCTCGATTTTATATTTTACATTTTTTACTTTAAAAGGCTATTATTTTTTAAAAAATGTATGGATCAATACAATTTTTTTATGACAAATAATATTTTTTAATAATCCCTTTTTCATTCGACATACTTTATTTTAATCAAAATATTAATAAGGAACTAGCAGATCATGTAGCTTTTGGAATAATATACCAATTTTTTTAAATTAAACACAATCTAAAGATTTGCATCGAAGCGTTTTTTTTTATAGTGATTTTAATCACTGTCAGATATCATTATACTTGATCCAACTATGCGACGTCACCATTGTGCCGCGACCCCCTTGTGCTGGGTTTTGTTTATGGTGTAAAACTAATGGACTCTTAATAAATTTAAAAAAATGCTCTCAAATTACATTTACTCATTCTTAAATATACAGTATTAATCAGTTTATGATTGATAGTTATGTATCTAATGTTTATAACATTAAAGATCTAAAGGTTATTTTATTCAGTAAATTATCTTTTTTTAGCACATTGATTAGACTTGTAGTAAGGCTCCTAGAACAATAGGTGTTTTGAAAATAAATTGTAGTGCATTTAATAATATATTGTTTATTAAAACGTTATATTTTTCTTTACTTACATTAATTCTTGAATACGCATCTATAACTTGGTTTCCATATCAAACATGTGAGTGATATTAATAGAATCGAACCTTTACAGAAACGTTTTTTACACATGCAACAATGTTTGTTAAATTTTTAATTTAGTCTATAATAATGTGAATTGTCCAAAAATTTTAGGTATTATTCCTTGATATATTATTTATGACAACTGTTAACCCAGTGATTTAAAAATTATGCAATTTATTAAAAGTCATTGAGGACAAAGATTTTTACTTATAAAAATTCATTTTATTTTCATAACTAAAATTTGGATTTTTCTATGTTTTATAAGTTTCATTTAAATGAACTGATATAGATTGGCTCATTAAGAGTATAGCTCCACCAGTCCTGATTTGTACTGAAAATTTAAATTGAGGCGAATGCCCAAGTTGTTTACCCCCCACATATTACCTCATTGATTAAGAAAAATGTATAACTAAAATAGGCAAATGAATATTCCCTTTTGTGGCTATTATTTTAAGGGAAGTTGAATGGCTAACATTAAAAAAAGTCATCCTTTATATATACATCATAACTATTATTAAGCTTTCCAATATTTTTAAATGTATCATACTATAATAATCTATTAATTATTCAAATATTTTTTGCCATACTATTTTATCAAAATTATCAATTCATAATTTCTGTGTGTTTTAAGAAAATGAAAATGAGTAAACTTTTCACTGTTCAAATGATAAATAGGTAATGAATCAATATTTATTAAGTGCTTGCTTTTTTTATAATTGTTTTTCTATACTATTATATTATCAAATATTTATCTTTTTAACATACATTTAGTCTTTTATTCATATTTTTCTATTTTTTATGTGTATTAATTTTTTTTATATTATTAGGTTGGAGGAAGTTTCCACATAGCTCCAGGAACTAGTTTTTCGATTAACAACATGCATGGTAAGTAATACATAAAATATAGAATTAATACATAAGGAACCAAAAAAATAATATTAATTTTTATGTATTTAAACTCTTTAGAGTAGCATTTGGTTGTGATAATATACAAGTTGAATGATTAACTATGCCTAACACAATATCTGTTATAGCAAATAAATGTAGATATACATATGTAACTAAGAAAAAAACAAAATGATTATTTTAAGAGAAATTGAGTGGCAATGTTAAAAGAATCATCCTGTTCACCTTATTAGTATAAAACATATTTGAATATTTTATTTTCAAAAGTTAATCATATTCTGGTTTTTTGATTCTTAAAAAAAAAAAAATAATAATAATAAATATTATCTGTACTTCTTTCCCCTTTAAAATAGTATTAATTTTAGTTTTTTAATGGAATCTTACAGAGTGATTAGTTAATCATAAACCACTTGATTACTTCTAAAATAAATACAATATAATTATAATACATATATTTCTTGATTTATCAGCTATTAATTACTTTTTAGGATTATTTATTATAACATATAGGGATGTCAATTTTTTTTTTTTAATGGTACATTTATAAATAGCTTATAAAATATAAAATTATGTAGTTAAAAAAATAACTGGTCAATAAAAATTTTTAACATGCTTTTATTAGATTCATCTGTATGTTTATTTGTTTGTAACTTTCCTTTGACTAAGAGCAAGTGGCTTACTAATGTTATTATATCCAACTACTATAAATGCGTTCATTGGCTGAGCGGGCTAAGGTGCAGTTGCTCGCTGACAACAACCCCTGGATTTCACCAGTCGTGAATTCTAATTCCGTACACATCCGAAAATAAATATTTATTTTTTTTCAACAATTTTCGGCATTGGTGCCTTAAATTGAACTGAGTTTTCGTCAATCCTCTTATTTATGATGCTGTTTCCCCACATCCAAAAAAAAGACATACATACATACCGCAGCTATTTATGTAAAAAAATATAGTTAATAAAAACTAAAAAACACACTCATAGCATATGAAACTAAAAAGTAAAAAAAAATATAGTTTTAAAAATGAAAAAAAAAACACTTTTAAACTATATTTATTATACCAGAACTTTGGAAGTTATTCTTTTTTATACTTAGGTGGGATAAAAACTATGGTCGGGAAATGACTAGTGATAAAATTAGCAACATCCACTTCTCTCCTCAGTCATTACTGAAAATTGTTCATTACTTCTGAAATACTGATCCAAAAGTTATTATCTATCAGTTATTTTCTTAATTAGATTATTATCTGTTCAGTAAGCTAGATAATTATGTATGTTACCATTTGAACAAATTTAATTGACATCCATATAAGTTTATAGATTAATATGTAACTAAAAAAAAATATATATTTTATTTAATATTATATATATATTGCAAGTAATTAAGTGTTTTATGATAACTTGATCATCGTGTATATGTTTAACTAGCTTAAAAATAAGAAAATAACTGGTTCATATCAACTTTTGAACCAGTATTTTGAAAGATTATAACAACTATAATAACTGGAGGTGAAGTATGACTTTATTTTTGATAATTTTCTCATTTTTAAGCTAATTAAACATATATTTTTCCATTTAAGAACTTAAATTGATACTTTTTAATATTATTTTAATACCAAATATTTTTTTTGAAAATTATAGAACATAGAATACTATTAACTTATGAAAAGAAAAAATTATACATAACATCTTTTATAGATATTAAGTGATGCATAGTAAATCGATCATTTTGTATATATCTTATACAAGAATTTTGGAACTAGTGTGTCACATTAATAAAATTAATAACATTAACATTAACAGTAACATTAATAAAATACTTGAGTTAAAACTTTATCATAATTATTAATTATAAATAATTTTTAAATGGAAGTATTTCCCTGTGTATAGGGGATAAGAATACTTCCACGGCACCTCTGCCAGTCGTAAGAGGTGACTAATGAGGTTGTGTCAGGTCGACAGCCTGCGTAAAAATCTTTGTCAAAAAAGTATGAGGATTTCTGAACAAATCTTAGGCGGATTGCCTCATCTCGGATGTACGCGGGGACAACAGAAAGTAGTTAAAAACGGAGAAGGCCTAAGGAATAAAGTGTTTGATACCAGCCGGACAACTTTTTTTTCTAAATAAAAACTTATTAAAAAATAAATTTAGCACACAATAAAAATAAATATTATGAAATTGTATTGTTAATCAATTAAAGGCTTTAAAAATATGCCCAATTTCATAATATGAAGTTGGGCATATTATGTTATAGATAAAATAAGAATAAATGAATTACTATAACTAGATTAATGATTGTAAATAATGAAAATATTAATATTTAATTAACGAAAATAATTTTATGATGTAACTTTGTTTATATAGTACATGACGTGCATCCATATACTTCGTCATCCTTTAATACATCTCATAAAATAAGACACTTGTCATTTGGTCAAAAGGTAGATTCTATCCCTGGTGATGGTGGTAACCCTTTGGACTCATCTGAAAGTATTGCTACTGAAGGTAATTATATTTGTATTGATGTTTTAAAATAATAAATTAGTATTTTATTGAGCCTTATAGCCTACAAGAGCATTTTTGGAAAAACAAAATTATTGGTGTCAACATTTTTCTGATAATTAATCAGTGGCATATTATGAGAAATAAAAAAATTTAGTGTGTTTGTACCTTTAAAGTATTAAACAGAATTCAAATTTTCTTTATATTACAACTTAAAAATTATTAGTTAGTCAATATTCTATTCATAGAACATGTATATGAGTTAAATTTAAACTTATTTAACACATTAAATGAAAAAAATTAATATTTTTTTAAATGGAATGTTGTAACTCAATTAGCAATTTTGAAAAAAAAATTAAATTCCTTTAAATAAAACTATAATATCACTTTTGGTCTTTTACCTATAATGGCTCAATATAGTATTTTATCAACTCAAATCAACATGTGTAAATAATACTATTGTAGATTTTAAAATTGTTGTCTGAAAAGGTTCTTACACAAAATAAATTATTTTTCAGTAAATTGTTTTTAAAAATAAAATTATCATATAGTTAATTGAAACTTATAATTTTGTTTTTTAAGATAACTTGACATATAATGGGAACAATTTTATTTAGAGCTTGAAAGATACTTTATTAATTTTTTAATGTATTTATCAAAAAAAAAAAAAAAAATTGTCCTGTTGAAAGAAGGGGACAAGAATACTTCCAGTCATAAGAATCGACTAATGAGGTTACATCAGATCGGTAACCTGTGTAAAATTTTGTTAAAAAGGTNTCGACTAATGAGGTTACATCAGATCGGTAACCTGTGTAAAATTTTGTTAAAAAGGTTTCCTGAACAGATCATAGGTATATTATCCCATCTCAGGTGAATGTGGGAACAACAGTTGAGAAAAAAATAAAGTAGTTAGAAAAATTCTAAAAAATAAAGTATTTGATACCAGACGGACAACTTGTAGNGAATGTGGGAACAACAGTTGAGAAAAAAATAAAGTAGTTAGAAAAATTCTAAAAAATAAAGTATTTGATACCAGACGGACAACTTGTAGGGTAGCTGTTTGTAGTGACTATGCTGTAGTGTCAACAGCGTAGGGATATAATCACTCAACTCTAGGTTAGGCTCATGTATAAGAGGAAAATGAAGATACAAAGCAAGAATAAGTACATAGAATGTTGGAACAATAATTGGTAGAAGTAGAGAATTAGTGAAGTATTGAAGAGGAGAAAAGTTAATATTTGTTCTATGCAGTGGTAGGGAGAGAAAGCAAGATAAATAAGTGAGGGTTATAAAATAATATACTCAGTTTAAACCAATACAATGAATGGTATAGGGATAATAATAGATGAGGAGATAAAAAGTATAGTAGTTCTTCTTTTTTTTCTTCTTCCTCGCCTCAATCCCAACTACTGGGGGTCGGCCACACTTATCCTAAACTTCCACTTGACATGATCTCCCACATCATCTATGCTCACATCAGCTGTCCTCAAAATTGCATTCAATAGCATTCCTTCATCTCTTTTTTGGTCGTCCATTACCTCTTCTTTCTTCAACATTCATTTCTATAACTGTTCTTACAGCTTCGGATTGTTCTCTCCTCATAAAAAGTAAAGTAAAGTAAAGTAGTTAAGAAAAGTGACAGAATTATAGTCATAAAATTAATATTTGAATAAAAAATGTTGAATGTAGTAAGTACCTGTGCACCACAAGATATGATGTAATAGACAAAAAAGTGTTTTGATGATGCAAGAAATACATTGTAATGAGGATGGGGTAATAGGTGGAGATATGAATGATAATGTCGGTAATGGGAGAGAATATTGAAGAACACATGAGTATGATTTTGAATGGGGAAAGAATCCTGGATTTTACAATATTTTAAATAGATTTATGTGGTTTGGTCGTGTTATGAGGAAAGAGGAATCAGAAGCTGTAAGAACAGTTATGAAAATGAAAGACCAAAAAAGAAATGGAGGGATATTATTGAATGTGATATGAAAACGGCTGATGTGAGCGTAGATAATGTGGGAGATCGTATCAAGTGGAAGTTTAATATAAGGGTGGTCAAATCCAAGTAATTGGGATAAAGACAAGAAAAAAGAAGATCTAAAAAAAATTGTTTTTCATTCTTTTTATTCTAAAATAACGAAATTTCAATGACATTGGTATTTAATAGAAGGAATCATTTAGTATTCTTTTAGTACTGTAGTCAAAAAATTTTATACAATTTATATTTTATTCAAATAAATAAGTAGATATAGTTCTTTTATTTTCATATTAATTATAGGGAGATATTTTTTAGTCACTTGAATATTGATATTATTTAAAATAATGACGATTCAATATTGTTTAAAGAACTTAATGCGTCTTTCTATCAATAGACTGATACATTGATAATTATCGAAGTGTATCTATTAATTAAACATTTTTTAACTAAAATGTCAGAGCTTAGTCATTTCATCTAACGTTTCTTATAAATGATTAATTCTAAAAAATTAATATGTAATTAATTACATATTAAAACAAATTAAATATTCATATATTTTTTTATTTAAATCTAAAAAATGTTCTTTGCGAGTTTATAATAAATGAATTATTACTATTTATAAATTATTCAGTCATATAAAAAAATTAACATCTTATAGCTGCTCCAACTCCCATAAAAGTTCCAAAAGTTCCACCACTTTGCATCATTGTAATACCCATTTTTCCGACAAGTTCTGTTCCTCTAAATCCAGACCTTAAACAAATTAAAAATTATATAATATTGACTATTTGTATATTGTATAGCAAGTGAAATCTTACCTAAAGGCGCTAAGACCACCGAATAACATTCCTATAGTAATACCAATTGTAGCTCCCATTATGAAAGAATTTGATATTTTGTCATAACATGATGGTTTTTGCCCGTATATTCCAGTTGGTGGTGGAACCATTATTAAAAAATATTAAGTTTCACTAACGTGGAATTACTGGAAAGTTAGAACACCCTTTTGTTTTATGCTATTATAAAGTTTACTGTTCACCTCGCAAATATTATGCTTGTTGTACATCATTAGTTGTGGTGTGGGCTTATCTATGCACTATAATTTTTATGTATTATATAGTTGATAAAAGTCAGTAAAAAATTATTCAGGTGATTTGATAAATAGATAATAGATAGCTATTATCTTCGAACTATTGACTGAAACTGACGGGAAAACACCTATGCCACGAACTGATAATGCTCCGACATTTACATACTTCAACATTTGACAAAGTAGTAATTGTTACGACCATCTGATACCACAGGTTACCAAAACTACGACGGATTTTACTCCGACATTAAATTTCANACAGGTTACCAAAACTACGACGGATTTTACTCCGACATTAAATTTCAAAAATATAGTTTAAAAAAACACGCTTTTAAAGCACATCGAACTAAAAAGTTAAAAATAATTTTTAAAATAAGCTTAAAACAATAATGAACAAAAAAAATACTAGTATTATAGTGATAAAAGCGTCAGGCGCTTAATATACAAAAAATATGGCACAAAACACGCTTTTATCACAATATTAACAAGGGGAGGTCACGTAGATGGGGTCACCGATTTTCATAAAATTTATATAGATCTAATCTATATTGAATACAGAATCAGATGTATTTGGAATTTTTTGCCAATGCCCCCCCTAAGTCGAGAAAATTGATTTTGAAAATTTTTAATTAGCTTAAATGGGGTCATTTTTCTTCCGGTAAGAACCCGTGTTATGGTCCAGTGGACTATACGTGATCCCACAAAATGTACAGACTCGGGAACNATTAGCTTAAATGGGGTCATTTTTCTTCCGGTTAAGAACCCGTGTTATGGTCCAGTGGACTATACGTGATCCCACAAAATGTACAGACTCGGGATCGAGTCTCGGCGACAGATGAAATTTTTTGCTTTTTTTTCACTGTTTTCTCTTTAAATTATTAATTTTACGGAATATTTGTTAAATTTTTTATAGTAATAAATAAAATATATTTTTATATTAACCGAGTAAGAGTATATAAATTATAAAGGAAAGAGATTTTTGAAAGGTTTAACGTTCAGTGCTAGGTTTTGCGTGTAGTTCATATTTTATGAAGGAGTAAAGTTAATCATTTTTTTTTTTCATTAAATAAAATTTATTCATTTGAATTGAATTATATTTATTGATTAATATTTACGTGTATTTAAAACTCTTACATTATTATTTTTTAATTACTATTTAATAATCAAATTAATAATAATAAAAAATATAATTATAAATTATTATTTATTCAATTGACTATGACTTTTGTCATATAACAAACATACATTTTTTTGAAAATTACAATAGGTTAAATTAAAATATATAATGATTTTATATATATTTAAATCCTCATAATCATCTCTTTATACATATACTCTTACCTGGTTAATAGTAAAAGTTATATTTATGTGTATAAAAGTTTAGTTTACTTTAATCATAGTTTTACCATTGGACAATCGATAATTTGTACCATCAAAATGTGCTTTGAATGCAAATAAAACTATATAGATAAATAAAATGTATACAAAAATTTAACAAATATTACGTAAAATTAATAATTTAAAGAGAAAACAGTGAAAAAAAAAGCAAAAAATTTCATCAGTCCCTGAGACTCGATCCCGAGCCTATACGTGTTGTGGGATCACGTATAGTCCACTGGACCATAACACGAGTTGTTAACCGGAAGAAAAATGACCCCATTTAAGCTAATTAAAAATTTTCAAAGTCAATTTTCTCGACTTAGGGGGGGCATTGGCAAAAAATTCCAAATACGTCTGATTCTGTATTCAATATAGATTAGATCTATATAAATTTTATGAAAATCGGTGACCCCATCACTGTAACCTCCCCTTGTAAGTATTTTTCGTTCATTATAGTTTTAAGCTTATTTTAAAAATTATTTTTAACTTTTTAGTTCGATTTGCTTTAAAAACGTGTTTTTTTACTTTTTTTAAACTATATTTTTATTATTATATTTTTCTTTTTATAATTTTGATTTTTAGCCAATGAAAATAATAGCATGTTTACTAAAGTAAAAAAAATTAAGTACTCTCCTAAAATAAATTCTGAATACGCCTAAGGGGAATATCTCATTAACAAACGTTAGCCTTAAATCCAATGCATTTTATTATATTCATTTTGAATTTTCCTGACTTTAATAATTAAATTTTAAATATATTTTTGTTACACTGATGTAATTTTTCCTGTAAAGCACTTATTATTCCCGGCGAGGCCGTGTATTCCTACCGGAATCAGTGGTCTACTTACTTACGAGTATGGCCCAAAAAAGCTTACTCGCTTTCGGCTCATGAGGCTCGTAGGGCCCCCCGCTAGGCGAAGCCTAGTTAAAAATTAATACTATATTAAAAATATTATTAATTTTTAACTAAAAAATATTTAACTCAAAATTTATTATATGAATTATAAGTGTAACTACGATTTATTTGTATAATAATGATTCATCTTGCAAACAATGAATGAATCTCGTTTTTATGGTTTTTTATTTTATCACTTTTATTTAAATTAATTCAGCCAATTATCTTGTATTTAATTCATTATTTTTTTTAAATTCTAACGATAGTTTAATTATTATATTATATTTCTATGCATTTCAATGAAATAATTTTAATTGAATATTTAAATCTATAACTATTCTCTAATATAAAATGCTAAAACATTTCTTTTTTAATTAAATTTTATCGAAATTTTGAAAAGTGTTACCTTATTCAAAAATAATTTGTTATTGTCCCGTGTGTTGACTAATTTTAATAATTATTTTTAGATTTGTTAATTTATTTTCTGTTTTCTATTTATGAATGTTAATTTTATTAGTAACATCGAAAAATTTCATAAATTTAAATAAAAATCAAATAGCTTCAACTAGATAAAGTTCAGGTTCTTTTGACACATAGATTAGCAAAATCGACGTGATAGAATAAATTTGTATGGATAAATCTCCCAACTCGAATGAAAAAAACAATAAGGTAATCACGACTAGTAAGTCAAACATCATTAATCATTTCAGGGGTTTGCAATCTTAGCATATGACTACTTATTAGAATAATTTAAAATATTATTTTAAGTATAAATATCATTTTATATTTACTCAAAATACAAATTTAATTAATACTATTTGAAAATATATTCAAATGGAAACTTATTCAAAATTTTACAGTTTTCCCCTGTAGACACGAATAATATTTTTATCTATAACTAATGAAAAGATTTAATGGAACTTATTTTAATCGATGTCTAGTTTCAACGTGTGATTATTTCTTTTATATCCATTTATATCTATTTATTTAACCACCTTATTTTATTTTATAATTTGTATTGTACATACTTAACTACGTCAACAATAGAGCTATTATTTTGTGTGAGGCAACTAATAGAAAAGTTTAGGGAAAAGAAGAAAAAGCTGTGTGTGGTATTTATAGATTTGAAGAAAGCATATGATAGAGTACCGAGAGTGGTTTTAAAGTGGGCATTAATGAGAAAAGTAGTCTCGAAAAGGTACATAAATATAATTTAAGATATTAGGTTTTAACAGAGAAGTCTTAGGGTAAAAGTAAGAGTACCCCAAGGTTCCGTTTTAAGCCTATACTTATTTTCTATAGTGATGAATGAAATTACTAGAGAAATACAAGGAGAGGTGCCGTGGTGCATGTTGTTTGCTGATGATATAGTGTTAATAGGAGAAAATTAATCAAAGGCTAGAGATGTGGAGATCAGCTCTTGAAGAAAAGGGTTTAAGAATAAGTAGAAGTAAGACAAAGTATATAGAGTACGAGTTTGATAAAGGAGCACATGAAGTAGTTGAAATGAGGAGGTCAGTGACAATAGGCGAGGACGTTATTGAAGAGGTGGAGAGTTTTAAGTATTTAGGATCAGTTGTACAAAAAAGAGCGGTGATATTGACGAGGATGTAAGACACAGGATTAAATACAGATGATTAAAGTGGAGAGAAGCGTCTGGTATGTTATGCGATAAAAGAATTCCAATGAGGTTGAGAGGTAAATTTTACAAGACTATAATAAGGCCAGCTATGATGTATGGTTCAGAGTGTTGGGCGGTGGATAAGAAAGTAGAGCATAGAATAAGTGTAGCAGAGATGAGAATGCTTAGATAGATGAGTGGAGTGACTAGAAAATATAGAATAAGGAACGAACATATAAGAGGGAATATAGGTGTAGCGTCAATCGTGGATAAGATGAGAGAAAATAGACTTAGAAGGTTTGATCATGTTATGAGGAGAAAGGAATCGGAAGCGGTAAGAATAGTTATAGAAATAAATGTTGAAGGAAGTAGAGGTAGAGGAAGACCAAAAAAGAGATGGAGATATGTTATTGAATGCAATATGAGGACAGCTGATGTGAAAGTAGATGTGGGAGATTGTGTTAAGTGGAAGTTTAGGATAAGGGTGGCCGACCCCAAGTAGTTGGGATTAAGGCGAGGAAGAAGTATTGTCATATTTAACTCCTTGTTATACTACATAACATAGTTTTATTCTATAATTAATAACTTTAATTAATATTCTATTAACTAATTTTTGTGTAATTGTCATGCTATAATATTTAATATAATAAAAGCTATGAAAAAAACTGTGTATTTCATTGCATTGAACAATTCCAATAGTTTAATTATAACTACATTATTTGCAAAGGCGTAAAGCATTTGAGTAAATGTATTTGAATAAAAGTATTCAAATACTTTCATTGGTATTGAATAGTATTTTTAAATACATTTAATAAAAAGTATCTGAGTAGTATTTTAAATACAATTATTTAGTATTTAATACTGTTTAATATTCAGTACTATTAATATATTTTTTTTTTTTAATTTGCTAACCGTAACACAGCAAGCAAATTAAACTCAGTCAAAATGAAAATTGAGAATAATTCTCTGTTATTTTATATGTTACATTATAGTATAACATAATTATTGTGCTTATCTAAATGCTATTATGTATACATCTATTTTTAATACATCAGTTGAACCTACAATAGCCTATTGCAGGTTCAAATGATTTACTCTATTGTCAATAAGACATACTTTACAGGTTTTTACACGTGTACTAATATTTATTTTTTTCACTGATTAGTCTCCAATAATTAATTTTATTTATCTCTAACAAAAAATATCGAAAATAATAAATGAGTTCTCTAAATTTAAGAGTACTCAATATTTGACTCTTGGCAATTATTTAGGTGAAACCTTTTGCTCTTAGTTAAAATAAAAACATTATTATTATTTTTTAATTGTATTCTTAGTATTTGAAATACTTTTGTAAAGTAATTGAGTATTACTCAAATACTTTTGTATGAAAAGTATTCAAATAGTATTTTAAATACATTTTTTTTTAAATATTTGAATATTATTTAAAATACTTTTTAAAAGTATTTCTTACAACTATGATTATTTGTTAACTATTTTATTTATATTTCAGGTTCAACTATGTTTCAATATTATTTAAAAATAGTTCCTACTCTATATCAGAGGAAAGATAAAACTGTTTTCTCAACTAATCAGTTTTCTGTAACTAAACATAATAAGGTATGATAATTAATAAAAAAAAAAATTTGAGTCCTTTTATCTATTAAATTTTGTACAACTTTTATCTAACGTTATAAAATTTTAAATTCCTAGTTCTAAAAAATTCTATTTTATTTTTTTTATTGAATTCATTTTAAAAGAACAAATACTTTAAGAGTTGGAAACCATTTTATGGTTAATAATAAGTAAATTATTTACTGTGTAACTATCATTTGATTATTACAAAAATTTCATTGATTTGAAACAGAGCAAAATTTTTATTACAGTTCTTCTATGTATTGTAAACATTTCAAAATTTTTCAATTCGTTGGAAATCATTAGATTTGTTTGATGTGGTAGATAGTCTACTAAAATAATTTATTTTAGGGTACAACATTTCCTATAATTACTATGATAGCATTACTTGACTTTTTTTTTGTTTTATTAACTACTTATACAGAAATACTTATTTCTGATTAGACTTCACTTTAAATTAATTTATTTTTTCATTAATATCTTGGACTTGAGTCTGAGTAATAGTTCTTTTTTTAATGCTACTATAATCATAGTGTAAATTATATGTATTTTAACAGAATGTTTAACACATCTCTTAATAGAATAACATTTACTATATGGAACTTAATCATAAATAGCTCTTTTTGTAAGTCAATAAAAAAAAAACCCAGCACAGGGGGGTCGCGGCACAGTGGTGTCGTGGTGTAGTTGGATCAAGTATAATGATATCTGACAGTGATTAAAATCACTATAAAAAAAAACGCTTCGATGCAAATCTTTAGATTGTGTTTAATTTTAAAAAATTGGTATATTATTCCAAAAGCTACATGATCTGCTAGTTCCTTATTAATATCCTAATTAAGATAAAGTATGTTGAATGAAAAAGGGATTATTAAAAAATATTATTTCTCATAAAAAAATTGTGTTGATCCATACACTTTTCAATAAGTTATAGCATTATAAAGTTAAAAATGTAAAAAATAAAATCGAGAATTTTCACACGAAAATAGCATTCGGTAGCGTTTTTCTCGTGAAGACAAGACCAGAGGTCAAATTTTTTTCATTAAATTAAAGTATATTACATTAGAATTAATTTAAGATATATATAAAAGTGTCAGACCTTCCAGAACATTTTCAAATGTTAAGTTGAAAAAATTAATTTTTTGTAAAAAAGTTGTCATTTTAAATCCCCCCTGTGGGTAGGTAAAAAGTCAGATTTATAAAAAAAATATACCAAATGATAGGTAATGACATCATGCATCTATAAAAAAAAGAATTATATTGATATGTATATTTTAAAAAAGTTACGGCAGTTTTTAGTAAAAAAAATTGAAAAAATTAGCGATTTTTCAATTTGTAATTTTTTTGGAGGTTTCCCCCATTTACGGAAAACGAGGGAAATTTTTTCAATTTTTAAGGGTAATGTCTTCGACTAGATACGATTTGTGATCTTTTGACGTATCATTAAAAGAAATCCGTTCAGTGAGAGCTGAGAAAAAGTGGTGATAAAAAAAAAAAAAAACACATCATAGTAAAACCAATACCTTCTCAGCTGCGCATCGAAGCTAAAAAATTGTTTATTATATCCAAGATAGATATAAGAAACGCCCGAAGTTTTATCTAATATAATTACAAAACATATTAAATTTAAAAGAATTTAATGTTTCTTTAACTCAATTTTTTAATTAATTGTAGATAATAGCTTTTGAGAGAGGCACATCAGGAATGCCTGGTGTATTTTTCAGTTATGAATTATCTCCCATTATGGTCAAATTTACTGAAAGACAAAGGTTAGTTTTATCAGTAAAATATCCAAAATTTATATTGATTTTTTTTTTTCTTATAGATTATTGGGACATTTGATTACTCAGTTCTTATGTAACATAAGTGGTGTATTTATATGTTTTTGGATTATTGATTTATTTATGTATAAAATTTCTAAAATGTATAATTTACATACAAATAATTTACCAAAATCATCCAAATAAAACATTCACTATGTTTATTATATTTATTTAAGAAGTTATTAATAAAATGTATGGTAAAATATTGTTTTAATAAATGTTTATAATTTAAAATTTATTGTGTTTTTATTATTTACGAATTTTAATTTATGCACCTAACTAAATTAAAATTAAAAAAATACTTCACTATTTTTCTAATAACTTAAAATTCAAGGTATTAAAATATATATTTAACTCAAAAAATTATTAGCAGTAATTTAAATACAAATTTTATTAAGCTTGAGTATATTTACAATACAAAAATGCAGTATGCTATTATTAAGTTTATCTTTTTTTTCGAAAAGTATTACTTTTTGGTCCAGAATAAAACCTAGGTTTTCTAAGGTTTTTAGGGCCTTTTCTTATTATACTTAATCTATCTTGCTTATGTTTTTCTGCTTCTGATTCAGATTTTTCATATTTCTTTTCCTTAAGTTATAAAAGTTTTTTGTTATTAAACATTTTTATTTAAAAAGTATTTAAAAAAAATATACTTAAAAGACATACTTTTTGAGTTGAAAATGTTATTTGCCTATTGCCACTTGTTAATACTTTTACAGAATTAAAATTTTCTAAATGTATTCTTTCTCCTAATGTAGCACTGAAAAATAAGTAAAAGGTAATAATTATTGTAAATATGTATGACAATAATTAATTAAAAAAATAATAATTAATATCATCAAAATTAATACACATATATATATTTTCTTTATTTACAATTAAATTGGCTACTACATAACCAATAGCTGCCAAAACTCAAGACCAATAAAATTTTTTTTTTATAAGATTATTTAATATATAATTTTAATAATTTCAGCTAAATAAAATCTTAAATTGAATAATTATCTTACTTGGTGTTTAGTGAAACTGCTAATTGATTATTGCTATTAGGCCCATTAAATTCTTCCCCTTCTCTAATTTCATAAAACTTTGGATTTTTAGTTAGTGATTCTTGTGATAAAATTTGATTATTTTCATCACTACCTTCGTGACAATAAATATTCTCTAAATTTTTAGATATTTTATGATCTTCTTTTTCAATTGCTATTCTTCTTCTTTTTGCTGCTCTATACTCCGCTTTTAACTCTTTAGTCCATCTTTGGTCTTCATCTGAGCTATATTCATCACTGCTTTCTTCTGAACTAGGTTTACCTTCAATTTCATCCTATTTAAATACAAATTTAATCATTTTAATATTTGTTTTAAATAGTAAACTTAAGATTGAATAAAAATTCTATGTATTTTTATCATAATTAATTTAAACCTTATAAAGGTATCTTAGACTAGATCATATCACTGAAAAAAACTTGAAGTTAAAAATAAGATAGAAAAATCTTTTATGATTTTTTGAAAATTAATTAACTAAAAATTTATTTATTAAATAAAAAATGTAAATAGTCTATTTTACAATTAACATAGATGAAAAATTTTAAATTTTATTTCCAGTTTATTCGGTGATCAATGTTCTCAGAAAAAGTAAATAGATTTTACTATGGGTTTTGAATTTTAGATAATTTGCATAAAATTTGGTTGAAATTGAATGACGTTAACATATGCCGCAAGAGGGTTAATAATTCAATTGTAAAGGTAATTTTTTGATTTTCATCAATTACCTTACAAACTATGATTTTACAATTTTGGATGGAATAATTAAAAAAAAATTTTTTTTTTCCATATTAACGTAAAACTATTTAATTAAAATTTAATAGATTTATTTTGTGTATTTTAGTTTTATATATATAAAAAAATTTTTAATTCTTCAATATTTAATAATAATATAATAATACATTTTTTTCTGTATGTCGAATAGTTTGTCAAAAATATTTAAATAAAATAATCTTAAATAGCTAAGATAAAAATATGTTGTTTTTTTACATTTTTATGCCTTAATATTACTGATATGGTTTTTTTGATAATAACATTTTTACAGAAAACATTTAGTTCTAAAAATTTTTTTTAAAGCAAAGTTAGTAATAATAGATAGTGATAATTGACAAAAATAAAAAAATCATGCTTACAATTAAATTATTAACCCTCTAGCAACACATGTTAACGTCACTCAATTTCAACCAAATTTTTTCTAGGGGTTGTATTAAATGAATTTCAAAATTTCATTTTTAAGAACCATGTTAATGATAAGCCCATTCATAAAAAAAATGAACCAAGTATGTATTTTAGAGACCATTTAAGCTTCTTTATCATTTAATGATATTTTTACAAAAATAAAGAATGTGGACAAAATCTATTTATACTTATTAAAATGATCAGCCAAAATTGTTTATTTAAATTAAACAATGATTTTACATAAGTAATACTCACATCCACTTGTTGGAATTGGTTTTGAATTTCCTGTTCTAATTTTTTTTGTTTTGATTTATCTAAACGTTTTAAAACTGGATTCAATAGTCTAAAATCATTGATATAATACAATATTTATATATATTAATAGGAATGTATTTATAATGTGCCAATAATAAATTTTATAATAAACCCCCAAAAATTTTAGTTAACCTAATAAAATTAATCTATAAATAAATTGCATAAAAGTTAACTTAATCTTACTTATACTCTTCAGCATTGGTATCAACTTGGAATGCTGGATTTTCAAACAAAGCTTTAAAACGATCATCTTTTAATAAACTGGAACTATTTTTATTTTTCTTTCCTTCTTTTTCATCATGTATCAGTTTAAGTGCAAGTTCTTTATTTACAGGTGGTAATTTCTATTAAGGTATACATAATTATTAATAAAAATTTATTTATACATTTATATATATATATATATAATTGATGACACCTGCGCATCTACGGGTTGGAAAATATTGTTGTCAACGAGTGGTGAGCGGGGTGGGATGAATGCGTTACGACCGTCTAGTCTCAAGGCCGTAGACACATGCACGTGGAAAGTTACAAACAACACACAACATACATGTGAAACTAATATAAGTGTGTTAAAATAAGACTTAGTTAAGGGGGCGGCGGTGCAAAAAAAAGTTTATATTCAGGAAAATACTGGTGTATAACTTTTAGACCATTATTTTAGAAGTAATTAAAAATTTAAAGTAATAACTGAAGGTGAAGAGTAGGTCCTGCTATTCTTAAAATTAGACATTTCCAAGTGGTACACTATCTCTTGCTTAGGTATAAACATGTCAAACTTTTGAAATACTGGTCTAAAAGTTATACACCAGTATTTTCTCAATTAAATCATTATCTTATAAAATAGCTAGTATGTTTCCAAGTTGGAACTTTTATAAGAGATGAATATAAAATATATTTCACATGATTAATAAATTAAGAAAAATATTGAATTAAAAGAAATCGACAAAAAAAGTTATCAAAATTATTCTTACTATTCAATTAATTCATGATAAGTGAAATACTCTGTATATTTACACACACAATCATGCATAATCTTTTCATATTTTTAACATTGTATTCTAGTGAATAGCAGTAAAAAAAAAAAAAATTATCACCATTAACTAATAACACATTGTAGTATATATTTGGTTATTAAATGTTTAATAAAACTATAATTCTTTTTTGAAAAAATAATAAATTTGATTTATACCTGAACTTGTACACGACTTGTTCTTTCAGATTCAATTTTTTCTCTTATTTTTTTTCTACGATACTCCTCAAAAGCAAAAGGTTCAGCAACGGATTTAGCTTTTCTATAGAGTCTAATATCCACAAAATAACCATGCATAAATGCTTTTAAAAGGTTTGTTCCTAAAATTATTTAAATTATAAATAGTAATTTAATTCTGAAACACTTAATAATTACATACTTTTATCATATTTTAATTCATCAATATAAAAAAAATAATAATAATAAATTTTTTTTTCAAATAGTTAATAAAACTTTATTTTAAAATTATGATAAAAATATTGATAACTTATGATTAATATAAATTTAAAATATTACATCATACATCAAATTGGTGATAAATATCTAATAATATTGACTATTAATTTTTATACAATACTATTAGATATTATTTATACTAACAATACTTTTTCTCAACTTCATATTTTTCATATTAGTATTTCTATATTTCTCTAAAGAATTTTATTTATAGTATATCTATTCAATAGTATAAATAAAACTATCATAACAATAACTGACCTATTAAATGTGCTAATCCAAGTTCTTCAAGTTCGTTTCTAGTAACAAATTTATAGTCATCATAGATGGTTTCTTTTTTAGTTTCTTCTAATTCTTCAACCAAAGCATCTAAAAATCCACACCACTTAGGAGCAGGTCCTAAACTCTAAAATTTACAAATATCAATGAAATAAGTGATTTAAAGCAGAAACCAAAACCTTATTTATTTATTTACCGGGATGTAATGTGTTTGAATTTTTGAATTTTCATTAGCAATAAACAGCATTCCAGTATTTGGAACAACACAAAGATTATTGAACTGAGTATCATTTCCAGATTCAATTGCAGAAAATAGTTTACCCTATATATATATAAAATGAAAAATAGGGTAATTTAAATGGTAAAATATTGGTAATACAAATAAACTCAGAACTTATATAATGCCCATGATATTTCAATTTAAATCACATTAATAACATTGTAATATTTTTTAACATAAAAATTTCTTAATACAAACATTACATAAGAAATCTTTTTGAAGAATAAGTATAGATTTTCAATTTATTATTGTATACTTGCAGTGATAAATTTACTAAAGATTGTAAGGGACCAGGATCATCCCAACTATGTTTCGTCCTCTACATAACAATTATATTTATTGGTACAGGATCAGAGAATTATATCAACAAAAAATATTATTTTGTTCAACTTAATTATTTAAATTTTTTTTTGTAGAATTGATGTTACAATGATAGAACTCTTAGAGTTAGAATTTATAACATTAATTAAAATAACTTTAGAGTTGCATGGCTTTATCATTTTTTATTTTTCAAATTAGTTTAAAAAATACCTCTAAAATAGATATTATTTTGTAGAACCTATCATCTTAAAAAAATCTATCACTATATGCAAAAGTATACTTTTTACAATAAATTTTAATGATAATCTATGGATCTATTTGTTTAGAAATGATTTGTGTAAAACTCACAGTATTTTTATTCCATATTTTAACTGAAGATGAATCCATAGACAAAATATTTTCCTCGTGGAAAACTATATCTCTTATAGGTAATCCAAACAGATGATCTTTTACTCTATATGGTTTATTAGATCTTAAGTCATATAGAAGTATTTGTCCTGTTGCTGTTCCTACACCTAAATTTAAAGCATTTTCAAACTGAAGAGCTGTTATAGAAGGAAATCCATCGGTACTATAAGAAAATAAGATAATTAGAAGAATTTCATGATAAATGAGTTGATGTATTTAATAACACTAACACAATATTTGTATCATTAGTAACAGAGTTAAGAGCACAATCTAAAACACCAATACTTGTGTGGGCTCTTGAATCCCATGCTTCAATTTTTCCTTCTTTGGTCCCAGTGATTAACATATTATGAACAGGGTTTATAGCTAATTTATTAATTTCATCACCAGCATTTGATAAAAAAGGATTTAAAAACTGGCCTCTATCTAAATTTAATCTGTAAATCTCAGGGCTGAAACAAATTATTACAACAAACTAATTTTAAACCTGCAATTACATTTGTATATTTTTTTTACCTGCTTCCACCAATATATAAATCACAAGTAGGGTAATGATATTTCATATCACGACCAAATTTTGGTATGCGTAATCTATAATAACGGCCTTCCTGAGAATGAAATTCAACATACCGATCACATTGTAAAATGACAAACTGAAATTATTTGTTTAAAAATGAACTTCAATTTTATTTTTAAATTTACAATATTTACTTTACTATAATCAGTAGAAAGTATCTCAAATGTAACAGCTTCAGAATCAAAACACCTTTCAAATTTCATTGCCAAATTATTTACGTCAAAACACTTTATTCTAGGTTTATAAATACCTGTGGCCAAAATATATTGGCCATCTTGAGTAACTTTTACAGTATTACTCAATCCAGGCATATCAAAATCTTGAATCAAAGATATATGTCTTTTCATTTCTAAAATATTAAATTATTTAATGCATAATAATTAAAAAATCTTATACAATCTGAGAATATTTTTTATTACATTATTAGACATTTTTATTTTTTGTTTTTATACTTAAGTATCATAATTATATTAAACTATATTATTAACAGGACCGTGAATTTCATGCAATTGCATGATTTTTGACATTAAAACATCTAGACATCTAGCGACTGCATCGATACCGTCGGACTGTCGAGGCAGGGTCCAGGGGGCATTCGCGCCTAAGTTACTGCTGGAGGATATGGGGAGCAGGCATCCTCCGGTGTCCTTAGGGACACCAAGGTTACTGTCGGACGCATAGGCATCAACCGAGATTTTGTTGAGAAGTGGTCGGGCATAAGGGATCGTTTTACAAACGAGATTACTTTGTCCCGCTCCTAATACGAGCGATGGACACAAATCCAGCCGCTCTTGGAACATGAAAGCTTGGAGTTTCTACCACACGGAAGTTTCAGGTTCCCCGAACTCCGTCTTACGTATGATGCTGGAAGACCTCGCCGCTGGTGGCAGTTTTGGCCCAGAACGGATTCAACCATATGATCTCTTTGAGGGAGTGGTGGAGGAGTCCGAGCGGGCGAACCTAATGTTTCGCTGCGTCTCTGCGCTGAGGAGAGGGAGCGTTAATGCGGCCGACCGTATCACGAATGCCGCTAGACTTGCCCTCAGCAAGATCCTATCTCGGCACAAAAGTGATCTCACTCTCTTCGCCGCAGATATGGGTCTAAGAGACGCCGTCGAGGCATATGGCTATGCCAACTGGCTAGCCCAGAATGGCGGTAGTGGATCGGGAAACTCGCCCGTTGAGGGACGTAGTCCGCCGGATTTGTTCAATGTGGAACCAATATGTGAGGATGAAACTATGCGGGGAAAATGCAAAGAAGTGAATTTTAATGATTTACTTTAACTAAAAAAATCAATCAAAATAAAGTTATTAAAAAATTTACTCAATTGAGCGTATTATAAAATTTGATTATAATTGTAAAAATCCATTATTAATTCAGGAGAAACTAACAATCATTTTTTTTAAAAATGATTTATATAGCAACATGTTACCAAAAAATTTTTGAATATTATAGTCTAGTAGTAGCACACACAAATAGAGTAAAAAAAATTTTAAATTACAAAGTAAAATGATTTAATTTTGTAGTTGAAACCTATCATATCAAACTTAATTCGTCAATAAATACTTTGAAAACATTACAAATGAAATATTACAAACGGAGAACATGGGATAAGTAAGTGTTTAATTGATAGATTAGAATTTTTTTTCAATTTTTGAGGGTAATATCTTCAACTAGATACGAATTGTAGTCATTTGACGTATCGTTGAAAAAAGTGGGTCAAGTTAGAGCAGAGAAAATAAATGATAGTCACAAAAAAATATCGTCTCAGCTTTGCATCGAAGCTAAAACTTAAAATATAGTAAAATAATTTTAATATAAATAAAAAATTTCTTCTAGCGAGTGGCGACTACAGTGATGGAATCCTTGATCTTTATTGAAGTTATTGAATCTAAATGAGATAAAAATCAAAGCAGTTGAAATTTATTCTAATTTAAAAAGAATTAAGAAAAAATTCATTGCTATATGCGGATTGGAACCTTGTACCCCAAGCGCGTAAAACAAAAATTTTACCGACTCGGCAACTGTACGTCGCTACCGCCGCTTGAAAAAAATGGCTATTTAAGCTAGTTCAAATTTTAAAGTTATTTTTCTCGACTTAAAAATAGCAAACAAATTGAAATAAGTTTAAATTTCTATTTTATATCAATTTGATTTATAGAATATTTATGAAAATCAGTGTAGTCCCCTTGTCAGGTATTTTAAATTAAAATGAAATACAAAACTCAGAATTCTAACACAAAAATACCTTATTTTTGAATACGGTAGTCATTTTTATTCATTAATTTCAAAGACAAATCCAGAGGTGGTATCTATTTTTTCAAAATAATGTATATTACATAGGCTTTAATTTAAAGTATATATAAAAGTGTCAGTATTTCCGGAACATTTTCAAAAGTTAAATTGAAAAAGTTCTGCTTTCTATACGCATTTTTAAATGTTTGCATCCCTCCTGTATAAAGGAAAATGATCCAATTTAAAAAAAAAAGTATGTCGAATGAGAGAGGTATATATAAAGTATTTATCATTAAAGAATAGAATTCATTCATGCATTTTTTAAAAAGTTATAGCAACATAATAAATATAATATCAAGAATTTGTTCACAAAAATAGTATATTTTTGCATACGGTAGTCATTTTTACCACGAAGACAAGTCCAGAGGACAAATTTTTTTTTTCAAATTAAAGTATATTACATAAGCTTTAATTTAAGGTATATATAAAATAGTGTCAGTCTTTCCGGAACATTTTCAAAAGTTTAGTTGAAATGGTAACTTTTTTGTAAAAAAGTTACCATTTTGAAACCCTTCCTGTGGGCTGGTAAAGGGTCAAATGTTCACAAAAGTATATAAAATGATAGGTAAATACCTCAGGTATCTATAAACAAAAAATTATATTGATTCAGTCATTTTTAAAAAAGTTATGGCAATTTTAGGAAAAAAAATTTAAAATTTGTCGAAAATTAGCAATTTTTAAATTTGTAATTTTTTGGGGATTTCCCCCGTTTACGGGGAACGAGAGAATGTCTTTCAATTTTTGAGGGTAATGTCTTTACGATTTGTGATCTTTTGACGTATTGTTCATTAAAATTGGTCCAGCGATCTGAGATTGAGCGTTCACAGACACAAAAGTATAAAAAAAAAAAAAAACATCATAGTTAGATGAATACATTCTCAATTCACATTGAGCTAAAACAAAATTGTCTAGTCAAAATATGTTATATTAATTAGATATCTACTTCATAAAAATTCAAATATTAAATAACTGTTGGCTAATGTGAGTACTTTTTTAGCTTCGATGCGAAGCGGAGAAGGTATTATTTTACTATGATGTGTTTTTTTTTTTTTTATGTCTGTTGCCACTTTTTCTCAGCTCTCACTGGACCGATTTCTTTCAAAAATACGTCAAAAGATCACAAATCGTATCTAGTCAAAGACATTACCCTTAAAAATTGAAAAAAATTCCCTCGTTCCCCGCAAATGGGGGAAATATCCAAAAAAATTACAAATTTAAAAATCGCTAATTTTCGAAATTTTTTCACTTTTTTTTCTTAAAACTTCCATAACTTTTTGAAAAATCAACAAATCAACATAATTTTTTTTTATACTAAAACCTTAGATATTTACCTTTCATTTGATATCATTTTTTTGAAAATCTATCACTTAACCTGCTCATTGGGGGGGATTTAAAATGGCAACTTTTTTACAAAAATTAATTTTTTCAACTTAATTTTTGAAAATGTTCCGGAAAGACTGCGTCCTTTAAACATATATCAAATTAAAGCTTATTTTATGTACTACAAAATGAAAAAAAAAAATTTGTCCCGACACTTTTTTTTCTACATTTAAACGGCTGCCGTAGTTAAAAAAACACTATTTTTGTGTTAAAATTTTCGATTTTCGATTTTAAATTTTCAACTTAAAAATGCTATAACTTTTTGAAAAATGTATATATCAGCACAAATTTTTTTTTTCTAAATACATTATAAGTACATCTTTCATTTGACATACTTTTTATTAAAATTGGACAATTTCCCCTTATATAGGGGGCGTTCAAAACTTAAAATATTGTAAAAAACATAGATCTTTTTCAACTGAACTTTTGAAAATGTTCCGGAAATACTGCGTCCTTTAAACATATATCAAATCAAAGGTTATGTTATATACTATCAAATGAAAAAAAAAAATTTGTCCCGACATCTTATCTTCTATGTGCAAATGGCTGTCGAAAATTTAAAAAAAAATGTAATGTTTGCGATAAAAATTACATTTTATCGGGATGTTTTTTGTACTTAAAACTGCCATAACTTTTTCAAAAATGAACAAATAAAAATAATATTTTTTTGTATTGAAACCTTAGATATTTCCCTTTCATTTGATATAATTTTTTTTGAATATCTAACACTTATTCTGCTCACTGAGGGGATTTAAAATAGTAACTTTTTTACAAAAAATAACTTTTTCAACTTAATTTTTGAAAATGTTCCGGAAATACTGCGTCCTTTAAACATATATCAAATTAAAGCTTATTTTATGTACTACAAAATGAAAAAAAAAAAATTGGCCCGACGATCTATCTTCTATACGCAAATGGCTACCATATTCAAAAATATGCTATTTTTGTATTAAAATTATGGGTTTTGTATTTTATTTTAATAGAAGTTGATGTTGATTTTGCAATTATCCATCAATTTTTTAAAATTAAACACTATCTACAGATTTGCATCGAAGCGTTTCTTATGATAGTGATTTTAATCACTGTCAGATTAAATCTATACTGAACCCAACTATGCAATGTCTCTACTATGCCGCGATCCCACTGTGCTACCGTTCTTTTTTTAATTATATCATTTAGGTAAATTAATAATTTTAAAATGACAAAAGACTACCGACCATTTGTGAAATTATATTGATGAATTTGGAATAAAAATATGTTTTTAGAATGATAAAATTTTGTTTTATAAAATATACAATAAAAATATTTCAAATGATAAACATTTTATACAATCTCAGAGTATATCAACTGAAAAATATGGAAAAGCATTAAAATCTAAAGAAAAATCTCAGAAGTTTTTGTTACAAAATTCTATAAAAAAAAAAAGCATTATTCAAAAGTAATTTATGTAAAGCTTGGTTGAATACAAATATGTCTTATGAATAAATTGACTAATCCTCATTTTAAACAGTTCTTTAAGAAATATACAATAGAAACTATATCTGATCAAACAATTTTACAAAAATCATATATGAATAGTTGTAACCAAATATCTATTGTGATATAAAGAATAAAATGATAGGAAAAACATCTGAATCTTGATTTATAAAATCACTATGCAGAAAGATTTTACCAATGTTTATAAAAATATAATAAATAAACAAGTTGATCGATATATCAAAAACTACTCGATCACTTGCAAAATAAATATAATATTATAAAAAATAATTTGAAAAATAATTTTTAATTTCTTTTAGTTACACATAATTCTTGATTTATTAGCTATGAATTACTTTTTAGGATCATTATTTAAAACATATAGAGCAAGTAGTTTTGATCCAATTTTAATATCTTATTTAACATGAAAAGCCAGAGAATATAATCGAATTGGAAAAAGGTTTTCATAGTTTTAAGTGTAACAAAAATTTTAAATGTAAGAAACTGATATTTGCAACTAAAATACAGTTTGGTCAAAAGTAATCAAAATTTTCAAAGTGCTTAAAGTTTTTTTCAAAATATAATAGTGAAAATTAGAGGTTAAAACACTAAACAATAGTGTTACCGAGTGTTTTTCTCAAAATACATAAAAACCATGTGTGTAAAGCAGCATAATTAACATATAATAGTCATAACTTATTTTATTGTATATAAAAATACCTGGATTTTTCTTCAATAAAGTTCTTCTTTTTCTTTCTGAAAGCCACTGAAACAATAGTTTAAGGTTGTAGTATAACAGAATTTTAAATTAAATTCAAAAAATATTTCAATAACATTATTGAAATAAATAATTTTACTTAATAATAAACTTACTTCCGGTAATGCTTTTCCACAGCTCAAATTATATATTAGAGGATAATCCATGTTTAATGAAAAATTTGTTCAATAATATAATTTAAATAGAAGAATTCATAATTTTTTAAAACAAAATATTTTACATTTGATTAAGAAATAATGTTTAGAATGATCACATGGCTTAAGATTTTTGATAATACTATTATCTTTCGTATAATAATAAAATAACTGATATTGATATATTAATATATATATATTTATAGGAGTGAAGGTGTCTAATCTGGCAACACTGAGTCTATTTGTTCAATTTATTATCAAGAGTCGTCTCTTCATTCATTAGCTGCAAATCCCTAATACTGAGTAAGAAAAGGATAATTTAGATTAAAAAGATTTCATACAAGTCGTGATTTTTTTTAATTTTCGAAGGTGACAATATCTTATTTTATTCAGGATTTTAAAAAAATGCGACATTTAAATCCTCATACAAAAAATGACTCAAATGTGTATGTATTATATTATATTATTTAAAAAATAAAAACAATTATAACAATAAATTTAGAAGTCCTATAATACAGATTAAATGTAATAAGATTAAAAATAATCTTACTCTTCAGAAATATAAAATATTTATGACAAACTATACCACTTGTTATTTATATTTTCCAACAAAATGTTTTGTGTAATTACCATTGATCTTTGTGTGTGTCATAATAGTAAATGTTTTTATAAAATTTTTGAGATAATATCAATCTTTTGATGTAAATTTCATTTGTTGAATAGTTTTTAAATAAAAAAATATACATTTTTGATAAAAACAAATAATGTTTTAAAGTATCGGATTTGAACATATTCAACAATTGCTATTTTTGAAATTATTTAACTAGATATAATTGAGATCATTAAGCATAATTTTTTTCTTTTTAAGATTCTAGTGACATTTATTACAATCATAATAGAGTTTAGAAATTTTATTTTAAATCCATAATATAATTATTATAAATAAATTCAAGATGTTTCGATAGTAAAGCAAACATATACTTTAAGTATACTTAATACATATTAAGTTAAATCTTTATTATTAACCATTATTTTTACAGCAGTAGTATAAATCAAGATTCATTACTTGGAACAAGTAATGAGTTAAATGAAGACAGTGATACTACAAATATTTATCATGGTGAAACTATCCAAATAAATTCTAGCACGTCTGATGATACAACTAAAATTAGTGATACTGGTATACATTTTTTTAATAGTTAAACACTTATCATAAAATTTTTATAATTATAATTTATTTGTTTAGAAAATAAATTAGAAATATCACAGTCTCTCGAACGATCATCTCGATCTAGGTCTCGAGCCACATCACATTCTTCAAATCATTCATCAAAGTCACGTTCTGTATCACCCACACAATCAGATAATGAAATCCATTCTAGTAACAAATCAAAATCTTCATCTCCATCTTCTTTAAGGTTAAAATCACAATCTAGATCTAGATCCAGAAGTTCTATGTCTTCTACTGATTCACATTCATCTATTCACAAAAATAAAAATAAACGTTTGAAAATTGATTCTGATTCAGATAGTGAATTACAAACAAACAAAAATACTACCTCTGAAAATAAATCTGATGAAGGTAATTATTATTTAAAATACTCAGTATTGGTCGCGTATTTTATATTATACTAATTATAATATTGTTATTCAAGTCTGTTATTACTATTAATTTAATTAGTAGTGATGTAGGACAGAAATAAATACATCTAATTTTTAAATATATTGATAAAAAAAAAAATTTAATTATTATAATGAAATGAGCTTCAGACTATGCTTATTTTTATTTTAAGTTTTAAAGGTAAACCTAATTTAAAATATATTTTTGAATACTTGAACATTTATTCAAAAACTTTAATATTATAAATTAAAAATACTACAAAAAAATTATTGTTTCAGTTATATGATAAAAATATTATAAATACTCATTATGATATTTATAATGTTATTTTAAATGGTATTAATATATTATTTGTAATTTTAAAAATAACTTTTTTCCACATTAACCACTAATTTGAGAAATTACTTAAATCACAAAGTTTTTTATATTGAGTTTTCAAGTGCAATATGTTTTTTATAAATAGACACTTCATTTTTGGAAATTTTCAAAAATATTAGAAATTTTTTAAAAGCTCACTAAGTTTGAAAGTTATGAAAGATGTCAAAATATTCTAGAAGGAAACGTGTACATAAGAATAAACATTTATCCAGTATCTGAAGATTTTAAGTATAAACTTACTATAGTAAGTTACATACATTTATATTGCAAAAAGGAATGTGTTATAGAAATGATGAAAGTTCAATACTTACAAACACATTCCCTAAATTAAGATTACTATTTATTTTCTTTGTATTAACTCTGTATATCTCATTGATTATTTGATAGTATATAATATATTAAGTATAGTACTTTAGCCATTTCAGTTCAACACAACACCTCAATGATAGTTAAAACACATTTTTTTTACTATTTTCTACTACTTTAATGTTTTAGACTTACGTTTCTCAAATAAATGGTTTATATACTAGTAAATTATAAAGCAATATTTTCTATATGGGCAACAATAATAAACTTACAATAATATTTTTATTTTATTTTGATTAAATGACTTCTAGTTTGTAGGTATAGGTATTATAATATTTAAACTTTGGTCTAAGCACCAACTTTTTTTTATTCATAAATTTAATAATTACTTGAATTTTACAACAATATAATTTATTATATTGCTACTATATCAATATTCCCTAAAACAAATTTTTAAATTTTAAATTAGGCTTTATTCCTATAAATGTATTATATATGGTGTTCTAAAGTCCTTTATGTTCTTTAAGCTCCTCTAAGTCCTTTAAATATTTATAAAACCCATTTGTCTTTGAACAATATTAATCAATAGTTCCCTTCCTATTCTTTTGTTTTTTGTGGGCACTACAACCTCCTTAATATCCTTTAGTCTAATAATAATCATAGTATTTGCTACTCTTCCCTTCATTTTTTCTGTACTTATACAATTTTTTTCTCTCTTTGTTTCAATATATCATAAGATTCTAATAGGATCCATGATAATTTTGAAGTTAGTCACTTATTCTCTTTCTTTAAGAGTTCATTAAGAAACTGTTCTCACACCTCTTATTTTTACTTTATTTGTAAATTGTGTCCTTTTAATTCTCCTTAATTCAAAACTACTTGTTATCTCTAATGATATGAAATTTCATGCATATTAAATTAATATCAAAATGTCACTTACTTCAAGATAATCTGTGTAATTTGGTGGATTAGGTCAACTCTCGTGGTTTAGCACTAAATATTCATCTGTGTTCCTTTAGTATTCTCCTATATCCTTTACTTACTATATAAAGGTATCCCCTTTAAAAAAACTGATAAGAATATTTGTGATCATAGCTTCATTCATTCTCCAAGATGTTTCTCATATCCAAAAAAAATGCTGTTATGTTTCTTGGGTTTATTAGCCGCACATACCAATATTTTAATCTTATTATTTTGTTACTCAAAAATTTTTATTGCTCTCTTATAAATCCTATTTTTGAATACATTTCTGTTCAATGTGGTCATATGACTTTTAATTCTAGAGCTTCAAATAAAAAAGTCCAAAAAAAAATGTTTGCATTTTTGTTTTTATAAATTTAATATCCCTTGTTCTCTACATAATTACTCTCTTGTTCTTCTTGAACTTAGTATTTCTAGCTTCTTTGATCGCAGACTCTTGCTTTTTTATCCTCTCTTTGAAAGAAAGTTTTTGCTAGAGTGCTAATATTGGTTATGAACATTGGTCACAAAATTGATATTGTTCTGGACAATTAATTTTTTATCGTACTTTGATATTAACCAAATATGAACAAATTGTTTGGTATTAAAAAGAAATTCAATTCAAAATGATCCATTGTAATGAAATAAATAATTTTTTTTTTAATTTTACAGAAATAGAGCAAAATGAAATTAAGAAGAAAAAATTTAAGAAGGTGAAAATTATGTCTGACTCTGAATCAGATAATGAAAATAATGATTCTAGTCCTTTGGTTTGTGTTTTAATCTTATTCATCATATTAATCATAATCTTGCACTTAATTAATTTTAATACTATATAAAGATTCATTCATAAAACATAATAAACCAAGAAATGTATGGAATATATAGAAATTTTATTATCAAAAGTAAATAGGATGGGTGGGAAATTAAGGATTTTTCTTGTTGACTAAATTATATTCATAGCTTACAAAATTTAAAAAATTTAAGTTAAGCAGGATGCAATTTAATCTTTCTTTTTAGTAAAGACAAAGGAAATATACTGAAAATTTCAGTTTATTTATTTATTTTTTTTGTGTCCATTTGTTGAATAATTTCTCAAAAATTTTAACTAAATATTAATTTGTTATCTTCAGTAAATATATATTTTTAACTATCCCGATGTTTGGTAAATTGTTTTATAAAAAACCGTAAAATATTCAAGATACTTTCAATATAAAATTATTTTTAATGTTTTTTAATTTTTTAATTTAGAATCATAAAACACATGCTGTATCTGATGATGAAGATTGTGACAATGATAATAGTAAAGTATCTAATAATGCTGAGGATCAGAATGAAGTTTTACCAGATATATCAGATGATTCAGAAGCTGATGAAACAAGTGTTGTACAAACTACTGGTGATAATGATGATGAAGAATTGGATGATCCTAATGATAACAATGAAAATCGAAATAAGTAATAATGGTCAATATTCTTTTATCTAATGATATATATTAATATAAGTTTACAAAATTAGTGAGCAAGGAGTATCTGATTTTGACCTTATGATGATGAAAAAAAAAGAAGAACAATCATGGAAACGACGCAGGAAGGATATTGATATTATCAATGATAATGATGATATTATAGCGGGTTTGATTGGTGATATGAAACATGCAGCTGAGGTTTAATAATATAAAATATTCCATATTATATGTCAAAAACTTATTAAATTACTTATAGGTTGACAGGCAACTTAATAAAGAAGGAAAACCAGCTATTAACAAAATAACCATGTTGCCAAAATGTCTATCACAATTGAAGAAACATAATTTAATGTTGGCATTTGTTGAACACAATGTATTAAATGTCTTCACTGATTGGTTAGCACCTATGCCTGATAGAAGTCTACCATCACTTCAAGTGCGAGAATCTCTTCTAAAACTTTTAGCAGATGTAATTAAATGCTAGAAATACATTAAATAGACAAATTTATATTTTTAAACACGTTTGATAATTTTTAGTATCCCCCCATTGAGCAATCTACACTTAAGTATTCTGGAATAGGAAAAGCTGTCATGTATTTGTACAGACATCCAAAAGAAACTAAAGAAAACCGAGAACGAGCTGGTCGGCTTATTAATGAATGGGCTCGACCTATTTTTAATCTGTCAACTGATTTTAAGGGTAAGTTTCTATTATTAATGTTATATAATATGATTTTATGAGGTTGATCATACATTTAGTTTAAAATATTAACTGTCCAATGTTTTTTTTATTCCTAATATTATTTCCAAACACTTATTAAAACTTGGTTTGTTTTGAATGATTTTTATCTTTTTCCTTAAGCTATGTCCAAAGAAGAGAGAGAACAAAGAGATTTAGAACAAATGCCACGAAAAAAACGTTCAAATATGGAACGTAATAAAAATGATGATGATGATGATGACTATGATGATGATGATGAAGAAGAAAGGTAAATGTTTTTTTATTAATAAAATAAGAATTTAAAAAGTATTTTTGTTGTACAACTGTTAGCGGTAAAGCTGAAGAAGCTTCTAACACCTCTCATATATATAAAAATAATTTTTTTTATTAAAGTAAACATCTAATTTAAATGATCCAATACATTTTTAAGGTATAATTTTACCTTGGATATATTTTTTTCTGTAACACTTTTAACTATATATTTTTAATTTCAGTCCTAAAACATTAAAACCAGGAGATAAAGGTTGGATAGCAAGAGCACGTGTGCCTGCACCATCAAACAAAGACTATATTATTCGACCAAAATCAAATACTGATACTGATATTTCTAAGGTAATAGTATGTAATTTATTTCTATCATTGCTATAGTGATCAAGTTTTTAATTTTTATCAATTTTTTTAAGCAATGACAGCTATCAATTTAATTTATTATGTTTTGTTTAAAATAAATAAAACCATTCTTATAGTATATTTAATATTTTTATTTTAACTTTTTTAGATATTCAACACATTAACCATAAAAATTATATTTTTCGCTTTCTTATTCTATTTATCATCTAACCCTGATTCATATATTATTACTAAACTTAGTATAGTCTACTAAAATTTAAATTTAAACCAGATTGAAATCTTTTATCACACGAAACACTTAATGACCTCTCTATTTTATTATTCTTAATTGCAAATATCATATATTTTTCAAATATATTAAGAATTTCCTCTTTCTTGTATATCTCCCTATACCTTAATTTAAATACTGCATTACTACTATCCTTTGTATTAAAATTTCCCTCTCTAATAGTATCCCATTGAAGATTTTTATTAACCAACATGTTAATCTCACTAATGCTACTCATACTTCTGTATATACTATACCTGGTTACTGATCTTCTACTATTGATTGCTTGAATATGTGTATGAATATATACATATGTGTTAAATTATAGGCTGTAAAACGACCAATGAATCGTTTCGAAAAACATTTAAAAAACTTTATGGACAGTAAGAGGAACGGTCAAGCCAAGCATGCTGTACCTATTTCAATTGAAGGTAGAAAAATGGGTTTGTAAATAATTATTTATAAACCTGATATTTTACTACAGATTATGTTTTCGTGTATATTTTTGTTGTATTATTTTTATTTATACCGTATATGTAAAAAATGTATGACAATTATTATTAAGGTTAAGTATTTTTTTCTATTTCTATGACTTAAGTAATGTTTACTAATAATTGTTATGGAAATGAAAATTATTTATATTTCTTATAGTTCCCATTTATTATTTTAAAATCATATTTACTATACATATTAAATGATAAATTACAATGAATTGAATGAATTAAACTAGGAAGATAACATAAGATCTTATAAAACTTTTATGACATACAAATTAAAAATGTAATATTTCCTTACTATAAAATAATTTGTTTATATTTATGTTGCATAAAAATGAAAATAACTTTTTATGTATAGTATTTAGTTTGTACTCCTATGGCAACCCAATTACTTTATAATATATTAACTATTATATACTATTATAAATGTGTTTATTTTTTTATTTTTTTTTGTGTCTGTTACCACTTTTTCTCAGCTCTCACCGAACCGATTTCTTTCAATGATACGTCAAAAGATCAGAAATCGTATCTAGTCGAAGACATTACCCTTAAAAATTGAAAAAAATTCCCTCGTTCCCCGTAAATGGGGGAAACCTCCGAAAAAATTACAAATTTAAAAATGGCTAATTTTCGAAAATTTTTCAATTTTTTTTACTAAAAACTGCGTAACTTTTTTAAAAATATACATATCAATATAATTCTTTTTTTTATAGATGCATGATGTCATTACGTATCATTTGGTATATTTTTTTTATAAATCTGAC